CTGCCATTGTTTGCCCGGAAATCTTCAGAGATTTTGACTGGTACTTTGTGTCTTTCCATCAAAATTGCCATTTTGGTTTCTCGCTGGGTAATTCACAGATGAAGAGAAATCTTGATTGACAAAAATACAGCTGATAGCTAACAGCTTTTCTTAAACAGAAGATAAAGGAAGATATAAAGGAACCTGTTATGATTTTGAAGCGGGTGATAGCCGATAGGGGGCATGTTAAGGCTGTAAGTAGAGGGTGTAGCCGAATAAATCTAACCCAAATAGAGTTTAACACATCTCAGTATAGGCAAAATTAAAATTCATTAAAGTTTCATCACTTTAGCATGTGTACATTTGCTGGCCTTCTAATATTTTGCCAATAGATTTGTTAGGCTTGATTGCAAATTCTTATGAAATATAAGAGTGTATGGTTTCAATGTACTGTACTCCCGATATTTTTCGCGTGCAATTTAGTTTCGTGCTTTTCGCGATTGTGTAAAAATCACGAAAATTAATAGTCGCGAATATCCCCAATTAAAGGCTGAGGTGCAACATGCCATTGACTAAGATCTAGAGATTGTAAATCTTATCCAAAGTATATGATATTGGGTAGGTGTAATTACTGTAGATAAGATAAATTAATTTTGAGGATTCAGAGAATAATGGAAGTTAAACCTTTGATATCCGCAAAATTTAATGGCCGCAAAATTGGTATTTCTCAAAATTCATGAAATTTAAACTCGCAAATTAACCGGTAGTACAGTATTTGTATGTGGAATAATTATGATATTGAGAGCATTGATGAAACAAATGCAATGAACTGATTTGATTGGCCAAGGGAGCATTGGAATTTTGACCTGAAGTTCACATGATTGTTGCTATAGGCCTTATGATTTTTTGGAATTCCAGTAATACTATTAATGTCTATTATACTTATACAGTAAAACCTGTCTTATCCAAATGCCACCGCTACAAATTAAAAACATTCAGATTTAAACGTCTGATTTCGAGGTTTTTGCATCCGAAAGATTCTTGATTTTGAAAAAATATTAATGCATTTTCACTTAATATTACTAGCATTGTAGGCGTTATGATTTTTTGGAATTCCAGTAATACTATTATACTTATACAGTAATATCTGTCTAATACTTATACAGTAATATCTGTCTAATCCAAATGCCACCATGACCAGTTAAAACACCATGACCAGTTAAAAAAAACATTCAGATGCGAAGGTGATCGGATTTCGAGGATTTTGCATTCGCAAGATTCTGCATTTTAAAAATATAAATGCATTTTCACTAAAAAGTATTAAGATTACTTTTGACCGCATAGCTTTATGACATTCCAAAATCCAAATCGAATGCTTGAAAGGTAAAACAGAAGTGTGCAATCAGAGATGATAGATACTATTGCATGAGTATATGAAGGCCATGTGTCAACTCTTCGATTGATAATACGCCTCGAAATAAACACCCACTGGCTTGGGAAAGCTATTTTCCCTCTTAATAAATGCCTGTCCCCTTGGAAAAATGTTTTCAATTTCCCTCTTAGTCTTAATAAAAGCCAATGGCATTTATTTTGAGTTCTTTCTAATAAAAGCCCTGTGCAAAATAAATGCTCAGTGGGCCTATATGTTCGTTGAATTTAAAATTTCCCCTTCTATTCAATTTTTATAAATGTTTTATGCATCAGTATGTTGCATTTGGAGACACAAATAAACTCTTAAAAGAAAAATATTTTCTCTTTAGTATGTTAACTTTGTCTACAAATGCAACATATTAATGTGAAAACATTATAAAAAAAAATGGAAGGAACTGAAAATCAGGAAAACATTTTTGAAAAAAAATGTTGATGGGTCTTTGCACCTTCCCTGTCTCAATCTCCAATTTTTTTTTATCATCTGTATGAGTACTTTTCCTTTAGATAATGCATTGGCCTAACATACACACCTTACATTTTCAGAAAATTTCTGCAATTCAACATTCTGTTGTGAAACCTTTAGTATTCTTTCAAGAAATTTCCTGCTTACATGAAAGTCTTTTACATTCTTTTTTTTTTAATGTAACATAATGGCTGATACCAATATTGTTGTATATGTTTACACTATGGAACTAATCATTCTTTGAATTGAGTTTGATTCCTGAACAACTGGATATTTGACTAAACATTCCTTGGATTTGATTTGGTTTGATGAAGAGAAATCTTGACTGACAAAAATGCAGCTGATAACTAACAGATTTTCCCAAACAGAAAATATAAAAAAAAATTAAAGTGAGCACTTGATTTCAATAGTTTAGTTTCACCTATGCTTTTGAAGCAGGTGATAGCTGATAGGTGTCATGTAAAGGCTTTAAGTACATGGTATAGCAATAATTAAAGGTAAGAAGGTACTGTTTCATTCATATTTCTTGGTTTTAAAAACATTTAATCAAATAAGCTGGAAATTTTTTTGAGAAATGATATGATGGTGAAAGAAATAGATACAAAATTATAAAAAATTTATAATTAGCGAAAATTGATATCCGCAAAATTGCAAAATTGTGAAAGATAACAGCATCAAATATTAGTGGCAGTACAGTATTTGCATGTGAAATAATTATGATATATTAATATAATAATATAATAATTGATGAAACAATTGCAATGAACTGTTTTGATTAGCCAAGGCCAGAGCATTGGAATTTGAACTAAAGTTGAGTATAATGTTATTGTATAAATTAAAAAAATAATTATAGAGACTTCTTACAAAGTTGATCTTCATTTCAAATAGCTGAGAATATTTCCCAAAATAGATTGACTAGGCCTTCAGATTTTTTTGAATTTCAGTATTACTATTACTCATACAGTAAAACCTGTCTAATCCAAATGCCACCGTGCAGTTAAAAACATTCAGATTGGGAGGTGTTCGTTATCACAATAGATTATAATTATATCATTGATAATTTAGGGTTTATTCAAAGATGGCAGCAGCATTCTCAGAACCTAACAATCAGAATCTCATTAATCTTTTGTTCACGTTAGTTATTTAAACTTTATATAGATGGCAGTTCTTAAATATATAATAGACACCAATAATTCAACATCATAATTTAACCTTTTCAATTAAATATACCCTGTATCAAGCACAGAAACGTATTTACACCCTTTACTAAAATGGCAACCCCTGTATCACGCACTTGTTCCCTAATAAAAGAATCTGTGTATATCATAGTAAGTTGAGATGGTCATAATGAATAGATTCAAGACGTTTAAAGTAGGCTAGTCATATTACTTAATCTGATTAAGAACCTGCCGAGTTAGCTATTTTGACTATTTATCAAGGTACTTGCAATGGAAACTCCATACCTTGGTAATCCAAGAAGCACTTACTAGTTAGACTTGCATTAGGCAGTTAGGGATGTTGAGATACACGATTTTAACAGAACTTGTACGTTAACGTCTAATATTATGACCCCCAGGGATTACTGTCCTCTCAAATGGCTTTTCCGGAGACTAATTACAACATTTTATGTCCCCACCACATAGTGTGGGGCCATATTGTCGGCCAAGGCGCGTCCGTACGTACGTCCGACTGATTTCTCAAAGCCGCTAGCAGAGGTATCACCTTCAAATTTTCAAGGATAACTTATAATTATATACAGATCCAGAAGAAAAAAATTCGACTAAATACCTACTTCCTGTCGGCCATTTTGAAGTCCAATGCTAAAATCCAAGGAGGATTGGCTCCCAGGATCGAAACTCGATATTTTCCAACAATGAAAACGTCGAAATGTCGTTATTTTCTGAAATTAAAACCGACTATAAATTCAAAATAAACAGTTCAAAAGATTCGAACCAATATCTCGATCGTTTCTTGTGAGTTTTGGAATTTTTCGTTTGGAAATAAGACCAAAGTTCACGATTTAAATGTTGAAGTGAACAAAATGGCGGCTGTTTGAATTCGAATTTTGTATTACGACATACCCATATATGGGACAGAATAGCGGTGGTGCACTCTGGGAGCCAATCCTCCTTGGCTAAAATCCTTGTCTGCAAACTTAAAAAAACGGCTTTACAGTTACTTTTAAAACGTTAACACCTTGTTCAACTCACTTCATTCTACTTCTGAATAGGGTTTAGACATGTTGGCTCAGTCATGGCACCCATGTTGAATGTTTTAAGGAAAGTCAGCGAGCGATAATACTTTGTATCATATTAAAAGGTGTTTTTGAGTTCTCATGATTAAGCTATTTAGTAGCTTTAACAACAATTTCAGGTGTCCTGTATTGTAAAAAATCATGTCACAGTTCAAAGTAGGTGTATACAATAATTTTATTTAAAGAGACTGACAAAAGATTATGTCTGCTTTTTTATTGTCGGCCATCTTGGTGTTTTCCGTCGTAAAATCATGTGTGTAAGTCTTGTCTTCGTGTTTTCAGGCAAATTTTAGGGATCAATTTCAAATTTTCAGGAATGATTCCTAGTCTACAAATCTCAAACTGATTAGGTTTTGGGCATTCTGGGAAAATGTAAAGATAGCCATCTTGTCTGTAAATTTTGTCTGTTTACACGTTTTGGAGCAAATGGCTTTACGGATACTTTTCAAATTTCCATGGATGCTTCTTTAGATGAAAATTATTGTTATAGCGCACGCTAGAAGAGATCCCAGTCTCAAAATAATTTATTGAAATTAATAGGTTACAGGGTATGATTAAAACATAATGACATTGACGTATATAGCTATTTTTAGTTTTTATATATGCTCCATAAAGTTGTCATTTGCTAATGCTAGTTTTTCCATTTGTCATTTGCCACATTAGCAACTTTTTAAACATGTTGATACCATTGCGTTCGTTCAAATATGTGATATATTTTCTGTGACTCATGTGCATGCACCAAACGGGTGTGTCAAGTACATCGTCAAGCTTCCATATTTCGTACTTATTAATATCAAGGAGAAAAGTGGATGTACTCATACAGTACATACATTATGAGAAACTAAAGATTGTTATACCTTTTCTGTACCTTACCTGTATAAAGGGCGCCACATCCGGCCCATAAATCTTGAGCATTTGCAGGTTAGCTAGAGAGTCTATCATTCCCATGTTGATCCCCATAACAGCTAGTACCACCCCCAGAGCAGCCATAACATTGCAGAATGGCACGATGAATAACGTCATGGGCAGGACACTTATAGCAGTAAGGATGATACCATTCGGAGGAAAACTGAAAAAACACATTTTAAACATTAAGCTCATTATGAGTTTAATGTCACCTGCACCAAGAAGTTGTGACAGTTTGTTATATTTTATGTGACCACTAACGTTCTGTGTTCGATGGTCGGCGTTGGGGTCTGTAGCATTTTGTGACACTTTTGTAAATGCAACCCGGCAAATTTTGACATTCCGTCATGTCCTACACTGTATAAGTGTAAATGAAGGTTTATGATACATGTACTGGTTATACATACTGTATTTAGATTAATTAAGGTTATGGTTTGCAATTGAGGGCGTGTCTGTACATTTGATGTTGGTTAGTATACAAAGGAGTAAGTTATTCTCGAAATATCAAAATTGAATTCAGCTCGATCTGTCTTGCAGCCTATTTCTCGTATATTAATATTTTTCTCATAAATCCAATTCTAGAATTTTTCCTACTGAACATTAGACCCATTAGATTAGGCACTCACTAGTATTTAAATCGTCATCCCTATCGTTAGATTATCTTAAAGTAGGTCAATATTTCTATACACTACATGATTAACTCATCAATTAATCTAATATCAAACATCAATTTAGACATAAACACAATAAGGAACTAAGTAGTATGTTTAACATTCAGATATATTGTAATGTTGAAAGTAATCAACTGCTCATCCAAGCATAAATACAAATGTTATTGCTTGACATATTGATAGTATGATGTATCAGCATATGATATTATACTTGCTGTTTTTATTGAATTTCCTGAACGTAGTTTTACACTGGGATATAAAATAATGACTTGTCCTGGTCAGATGTGCTTTTGGTATTCTGAACAGACTGAAGACTCAGATCAAAGTTTTACGCCCTACTTTGCAGAATATTGTAATGGTCACATTTCTTCATTTACACTGGTGATCCACTCGATTACGCTGGAACCGTTTCGGTAACAAAATGTCGGAACGTCGAAGGCACGTTTTTCCTTTTTTCCTTATTTCACACGTTGTAGGCAGAATTCCAACGACATTTTTATCACAAACGTGTATCAGTATCATATGATTAAGAAAATGTACACATTTGCGAACAAATAGTTCAGAAGACAACGGAATCGTCGATTTAATCCCGAACTTAAGTTACCGAAACGGAATTTCGAAAAAAAGTTAAGATCTGCACTTTTAACCCTTACCGTTTATGTACTTTAAGGTAGGAATTAAATCTACGATTCTGTTGTCTTCTATTTTTTCGCAAACTTGTACCTTTTATAAAACATATGATTTGATATACGTTTGTGAGAAAAAATGTCGTGGGGATTCTGCCTACAACTAGCGAAATAAGCAAAAAAGAAAAATAGTACCTTCGACGTTCCGACATTTTGTTACCGAAACGGTTCGTTTCGGTAACCAGCGTAACCGAGCAGATCACCAGTGATTTAAAGATCCAGTACATATTACATGTGTATTCCGTTCAGTACAGAATGTCCCATTCTATAGTAATGGTACTCAAATCAAAACATTCATCTCAAATATTAGGGAGGTTAATTAGTATAATCACTGTACGCGTTTTAAGAGAACTTTAAGAGAATTTTGTTGAAATTAGGAAAAAACAATTGAGAGGAGGGTCATAATTTTCACGTTCACGTCCAAGTTATCTTAAAGACGCGTAGCCTAATCTCATATTATCTAAAAGGCATATCATAATAACATTTACCTTTGATTCTGTTGATGTGAGTGTGATAACTAGCAGATATCACTAGAATATGCGTGAGATATAAAAATCATGGACAATATCACACGGATATACCACTTTAAATCAAATCAATTCGAGAACTTTTTTCGTGTTATTTTTCATCGTTGGTACTGTTTATGAGAGTAAAGACATTTGTTACTACAATACCCGAGTACTCTGACATTTAGCTTCCTTCACAGTGACTACATACGATGCTGACATTACAAGTGGTTTTACACTAGCTATTCTAACTTCATAATAAATCTTCCTTACTTGTAATTTAAGTCTTTACTGCCAAAGAAAGATTATTGGAATGATGAAAAACAAACTCCAATATGATAAATTGTATAGAAAATACAGTTTACTTCTCTTCCATTATATTTAGCAAGAATCAAAGGATCGATTTTTTTTAAGTAAAATACTTTTAAAGTGACACCAAAGAATAGTACAGTGTTAGAAGCAAAATCTGATGTGTAATGATAGGTTCAAAATGTTCTTAGTCTTGTGTTTTATTTGGCGGAGAGGATATTTGTTTGTTTTATTTGGCGGAGAGGGCATTCTCTAGTTATTGATATTAACAAGGGTTATGTTGAATAAATACGAGCTCTAATCTAACATATGGCATTCACCAATGAATAATTTACTGATGAGGTTTTATGGTTATGAATATTCCACAGTTGATTGTGTTGGCACCTTCGTTCACTGGGTTCCCGTCGGTCGCTGAACACAGAGAATGATGTAGATGTAGACAGAGAAGACCGAGCGTGCGAGGATCAACTTCCAATTCTAAGGTGGTTATTCAACTCAAGGAGGATTGGCTCACAGGGACGAAACTCCATATTCGATCTTGACCTTGATCGATATCAAGATTGAAAGTATTTTCTGATATTATAACTGACTATGAATTCATAAACAGCGATTCAAAAGTTTTAATTAATAACTTGATCACTTTTTGTGTATTTTGATTTTTTTTGTTTGGAAATAAGACCGAAACTCGCGATTCAAATTTTGAAGTGAAAATGGCAGCTGTTTGATTTCGAATTTTGTAATTACGACATCCTTCAAGATCGGATTCATTGTTGGAAAATATCGATATTGCATTCTGGGAGCCAATCCTCCTTGTACATCTGAACCCTTGTGAATCAATTATATATTTGAACAGAAAACACGGATTGTAAGATCGTGATTCACGATGACTGTTGTCACATAAACAGTTCAAAAAGTCATCCAACATTATTCTGATGCAGGAGTGGCTGAATGTATAATGCAGGAGTGGTTGAATTTTTATTGAGCCCCTTCCTTCCCAGAAAGACAGAATGGAGAAGATAAGTTTTTATGTTAAAATCTAAAAGTTTTCTTGTCTTACCTATCGATCTTTTTCAAAGAAAAGATACCATGAATTGAGATAAATGAAGTCATCTTTGAGTTGACCATGGGGAAATCATTGGTGCTTTCAACAATACGTCAGTACTCTTTTCATTTAACCTATCATGTATGCTATCTCACTGTGTATCTGCTATAGATACCCCCAGCTTGTATTATCAGACAAACAAGGGCACGAAATTCCAGGTTAATTAGGTAACTATACTTTGCTATAACTGCAGAAAATATTGAAATTCTCATTTTATGTAAATGGTGATAATCATTTACAGAGACAATTGAGTACATCATGTATTAAACACACACTCCTCTTTTTATATCCATTTCTAGACATTTTACCTATCACTTTTCGCTCGTATGATCTTTTACGTATACGCTCATCGCTAGGAAAAAAATTCCCTACAATTTCATAAAACAGATAATCAACCTTAACAAAGAATTAGTGAGTTGAAGAAGTGATGAGGAAATCAATTCCATTTCAATGATAACATTATGAATAGTTTTCACAACTTTATCTATCAATTACTTTAATCCTCTTGGTCACAGCGACCTGGTAACAAACCAACTAACGTTACGATTGAATCCGTTCTCAATGAAAAAGAAAATCCAATCAATTTTCTTGAAATGAAATATCGACATACAGTCTAATACCCCTGATAGACCCCCCCCCCCCCTTCTCCAATAGATGGCGCATGAGTCGATTTTGACATAAGTGCACAGTTGACGTAACGGTGCACTGGGATGAGCTGTTTTCTATTGAATTCCACGTATTCAAAAAATAACATTCATTTGCTGATACCAAATGTTTTCACAGTAGACAAATTTACTTTATATTCAAAGATATAATACTCGTCGAGTCAAATCCCAATGATGCTTAAAAACCTTTAGGCCAAGAAGCACTATATTATATTAAGTCAGTGAAAGTATGAGAGGATAAAGGGATCGGTAATTGATAGAGTATTCTCATCACTAGAGATAGTATTAATTTAATAAGAGACTCAAATACCAATCAATATTTATACTCTTATGGTGATATAATCCAATTAGGCAAATGCATTTCTTCTAAACAATGTCATACTATAGTAGATTCCTTAGGAATTGAAAAGCCAAGGTTGGCCCCTATCAAGTATCCACAGGGTTAGTGGCAAACAAATAGAGCTCCCATTTGATGGAATTACACCTGAAAAAACGCTAAAAGCGCTTTACAAAATCGCCATCCTGATTACACCAACATTTCTACAGCGCCTTGGGAATTTTATTTTGAAATTACACATGTCAGGTTTTCGTGCACTTTTAACGATGTAGATATGGAGAATATCCAGCAGATGTGTACATCTACAATAAATGTAAATTCACTTTTTTACCGTTAAGAGAAAGCGTAACCGAGATGTGAACTTACTTTCAATTTTTGCGATATAATTTGATGACCTATTGCATATTTGGGTCCCATCATGGGCTTTCTAACTGAAAGCCCATGGTCACATCTATCATTTCCTGTATTTCTACGGTGGCCCGAATGTGTAGCATTCGAAATACGCCTCATTTCGTTTATGACAAATGACAAAAACCCGGGTAAGACGTTTTACAAAAACTGTTCGGTATTACACTACACTCCAAAAGCGCCTAAAGATTTAAGGCGTTTTTTAGTGACTAGGGTTCTAGGAGTTTTGGAAAAGCGCTTTTGTAAAACGGCAATCGTAATAACACCTATTTTTCAAACCGGGTTAAAACCTTAGGCGCCTTTCTAAAACGCATGGTGTATACCAGCATTTTGACTCTTGGAACGGAGATGCAACACATTGGATGGACTTAATTAATTCATGATTTAAATTCATCAAATACCGTAGTAAGGTTCCCAAGAAGGAATGAAAATCACTCTAGCATAGTCACTGGTGATCCACTCGATTACGCTGGTTCCCG